CACTCACACACTCACTCACACACACACTCACTCACTCACTCACTCACTCACACACTCACACACACACTCACTCACACACACACTCACACACACACACACACTCACTCACACACACACACTCACACACACACTCACACACGCGCACACTCACACACACGCACACTCTCTCTCACACACACTCTCTCTCACACACACACTCTCACACACTCACACACACACACACTCACTCACACACTCACACACACACTCACTCACACACACACTCACACCCACTCACTCACTCACTCACTCACTCACACACACACACTCACTCACTCACTCACACACGCGCGCACTCACTCACGCACGCACGCACGCACGCACTCACTCACTCACTCACTCACTCGCACTCACTCACTCACTCACGCGCACACACACACACACACACACTCACTCACTCACTCACTCACTCACTCACTCACTCACTCACTCACTCACTCACTCACTCACTCACTCACGCACGTGGCGCAATCCTGGATCATATCTAATCATCTCAATACGATTGTGACCTGAATCTGATCAAAAAGGAAGAAGTTACCTGAGAATTGACCAGCCTTCACTCCCATATCTGGTTACCTGTCAGGAATGTCTGGTTTTGGGATCTTTTTCCCCTTCTGAATGATCAAATTTCATTTCTAGCTTGTAAGACATATGTTTGCGACACTGTTCTTTGAATCACACTCATAATGGTATGCTGAATTTGACACTCTTTGTTCAAGTTTGAGACTTCATGGAACATTTCAACTCGCCAAAAATGAGCTTTTGTTGTCATTTCTCATCCCATGTCTTCCCAAATCTGTCGTTTCTTTCTTCCTTTCTTGCAAAATGTCCATGTTTTTATCCATGTGGTTAAAATGTCTTTCAGGTCAAACTACACTGATGTTTTGTCACCAGTTGCATTCATAAACTAATAATGTTTGCTGTCACTGTCTTAATGTGCCATGTTTGAATATCTGCAAATTTGAGAGAGCTTTTTAATAAAAAAAAAATTAAATATTGACTTGAATATCAGTCGGTTTCACATGCAAACATAAGACTTGGAATATAGTGCACAAGTCTGTATTTTGGGAGCTTTGCATCCCCGTTTACTTTCGTTGCATGGAAAAGAATAGTTAGAAAATTGTGCAAAACATTTTGATTTGTGTTGCATGGAAAATCGTTTGGAATTTGGAACATGAGAGTGAGAAATTTTGGGTTAAATTATTCCTTTTAACTATCTCGAGAGAGAAATCTCTCCTGAGAAGAACTTTCCAAAGCTCAGATCGTTTAAATGGGCTTATTGGTTTTTCCTGTCTGTTCTAGAGAAAGCAAATTAAATGAACATAGACTGGAGTGTGTGTGTGTGTGTGTGTTTTAAGCAGGGTCTGGGAATCGGGGGTCACATGACAGGATGCCAAGAGCACATGAGCACCAGCTGATGGTTATTAGATGAGCCTGATTTTAAATCTTAAGGTCCACGTC